ACGCTGAGAAAACCATCAAATGACATCATAAAACAGGCTCTCGAGTGGATCCCGGACAGGAAGCGGCGAGTTGGCCGTCCAAGGTTGAAATGAATGAGGTAATGTTAAGAGGAGATGAAAGTTTGTGGGCAGACGTGGAGCCAGGTGAGGAAACTGGCGGAGAACCGAACGCAATAGAGACGTTTTGCTGAAGTCCTACGTTCCTCTAGGAACTGAAGGAAACAATAATGGGATTCCTCAAATTCTTATAACAAGTCATCTATGGAGAGATTAATCATTTAAGCATTACAGTTTCATCAATTACTTCTTAATGTTTAACATCCTACAAAGCAAACGTCGATTCCAACGTCGAAGAAATCAACTTTGAAGGCAATCAATAAACCACTCAACTCGCCAGTCACAAACCAAATAATAAATAAATTATAATTCTGCTTTTTACGGCTTCAGTCTTTACTTTTACAGTGCGTTTTTTATAAGTATATATGAAGAACTAGCTCACACGGCCACACCTTTTCACCGCCATTCCTATATCACTTGATATGAAGAGCGGAAGCAAGTATCACAGTGATTGTGTGTGTATGTACTGGTGCTGGTGTAGATGCATTATTATTGTCCGCTCCTGTTGGTCAGAAGTAGTAAAATATATCAAAAGACTGAAAGTTAACGCAGTGACAGCCATGTAGGTAGCAACCATTAGAAAGGACGTCTCTCGGTAATAAGCGGTTATGGTGAAAGGATAGTAGAATAGACAATAATAATAATAATAATTTGCTTTATTCCAAAATAGTACTTGTGATACGCAAGAGAATTCTCAGCATTTTACTACAGTATTGTATCCAGTTTTTTACATTATCAATAAATAAAATTCTACATAGATTATGGGTAATCTCAGTAAGTTTTGACAGTAACATATTGGCGTGTCGGTAGCAAAGTCAAAATTGAACAGTGTTTGAAGGTGTTAGAAAAGTAGATGCTACTATATTCACTGGCGTAAGCGGTAACAAAAAGGTCAAGATATACAGAGTGTGAAAGAACGAAGAAGAATGTTTTAAGTTGTTTCTATAAATGATATGAGTCGGAAAGACGAGATCCAGTTGTTCTACTGACTATTGAATAAGTTATAAGTTTCACACCCCTAATGCTTTCCTTTATCGCACAGAACACGAGCCAACCAAGTAGAGTATGGTTGAGTTTTTGTACTTACTAGTGTGACCATATAGTATTCTATATAGGCTTCTGGTCCTGCCTGATCAGATACTGGGGAGAGTTGTGAATGAAGAGCGTGGTGTGAGTTGGATAGAGTGGATTTAGCCCATTTTTCACATGAGTCCAAGTGCTTGTCAACGAGAATATTAACAAGCTGGTTAAGTGGCACGTAGCTTACTCTGCTGACAACCTTTAACATCCTGCGTAATAATGTATAGTCTTTCTTCAGTAGCGAGCTCAGGAAAAACTAAGGGGGGACAATAGAGAATAACAGGCAGACTACGGGAGTTAACGAATTGTAGGAGTAAGGGTTGGGTTATACCAGAATGTCTTAACTTCTTTATGTAGAAGGTAAGACAGAATATTTTCTTAGAAATCATCAAGATATGAGACGACCAGGAAAGATCAGCTGATAGAATGATGCCAAGATATTTAATTTCCAACTTGGCCTCTATTTCAGTGCCATCTATCTATGTTGCACACCTCGTGAGTGCTAACCAGTTTGTTTAGGTTAAATTTATGCTTAGAGGTGAAATTGACTGTTTGACATTTACAGGGGTTTCAGATTAGACCGTTTTCCTTGGACCACTCACTGGCTGATTTCTGATAAAAAGCCACTTAGTTTAGAGCAGTCACTTTGACATTTGACAGGCAAAGATACAGTCAGATCGTCAGCATATTTAATAGATGAGAGAAATTCAGTTATTTCAAACCTTCCAGAAGCAAACATACGGTAATGATATTTTTCAAAAATTGGACGTTTCATTTTTAACACCATTTTATTACTGTTTACACTTGTCTCCATTGATAGAGAAGTTTGCGCTATTCAGAAATGAATGAAAAGTCTAATGTAGACACTGTCCAATGTCCCAAACACTTTTATCGACCTTATTCAACATCTATATGACAATGCCTTGCGTCAAATGATTCCCAACGGGGAATTCAGCGAATCCTTTCAATTGAGAACAGGAGCAAGACAAAGCTGTCTACTGTCAGCGATGATATACCTAACTATGGTGGACTGGATCATGCGTTAGACAGTCCGTCGGGGCTGGGGGTGGAGAGGAAAGGATTACGTTAAATCGATAATAAGGCTCTAGAAGATCTGAACTTCATGGAGAATTCACGCCTCACAAACTCAAAGATCTGCAAGCGAAAATCAACAAGTTGGAGGAAGTAGCAGTCAGCTAAGACAAGACTTCAAGTGAACACAGAGGGAAGGCGATGGAGGGTGAAGATTTTCTGGCGAAATCTAAATTAAATAACAAATCAAGACTGCCAAAGGCAGGATTGGATTGGAAAAGCAAGGCAGACGTTCATCGCTATGAAATCTGTTAAATCCAGGAAAAGGAACAAGATTTGAATTCTTTCCAACACTAATGTCGAGTCAATAGATGCTTCATTATGGTTCAGAGATTTAGGGCGCGCGTCACGAAAGATTTTTTAAAAAGGCCACCTCAGACTTTCATTAACAGATGCCCTCGCTACACGCTGGAGACCAAAGGGCTGCGCAGAAGGAATTTAACAATTAGGAACTGTAGGAACAAACCAACCGAGAACTCATTACTCAACGAATATAAGTAGAAAGTAATAGGGATAGATTGGGCACAGGCTCAGAATGACATTGAGTGACAACATCATGCATCAGGCCAACCTAAGAGTGGAGCCAGGTTAGCATGAAATGATAGATTAGCTGTCACCTTGACAGTGATATGAAGAGGATCAGGTTAACAGGAGATGAAAGCACAAAAGGCGATCATGATTCAAGCTATAAAGGAACAGGGAGAAATGTCGATGTGCTGTCGAAGCCTTGCGTTGTACTTGGAACCAAATGGAATGGATGATACAATATTGCCATGATTACCAATTTTTATCTACCTATTTCGGTTTTTGAATAAAGAAACATGATAAAAATCGACTTAAAACAATAATCATCGTATGGGCGGATGACTGTAAAACGTCATCACCCTTTTCTGACCTTGATCTTGGTCAAACCGTCAACCAATCAGAATATTTCTTTCTCGCCTACCTTAGCCGAATTACCTACCAATTAGAACAATCTATTCCTACTGCCCTAGGCAGATGTTAATGTTTTTAAAAATATATAAGTAAGTCTTGCTTCATTCTAATAAGAATCGTTTCCTAACAGTCTCAGACCAATTTTTGTCTTTTGATATTTAAGTGTTGGTTTCATAGGATTTCATCGTGAACTGACATCTGTTAGAGAATCATTGTAAAACCAATCAGGGAGCACTGGACAGATGTTGAATCAACCTAGTTTGAGGCTCTTCAGTAGTACACACCGACCAACCGGGTTCGAACCCAGGGCCTTCAGGTTACAAGGCTAGTGAGCTCACACGCTATTTAGCTACTTTGAACCATCCAATGGCCAGCCTATGAATTCCAACTTCGGCCGATTCATGATATGCGCGACCACTAGGGAATGTTATTTGTCTTCACAACCAACTTGCTATTTGATATTACGTGACTCAGTAAAGCGGAACGTACAAGTATTAAGCATTTCGGTTGAGTTGTTCATTGTATCAGTATTATTATATCCACGGATAAGTTCACTTGGTCATATCATCTGTCAGTGCGATCATATCATTTGGTGAAAAGTTCATAAAAATTGGCGATGAGTTCATTTCAACCGGTAAAGTGTCAAATAGTTACAGGCAATAATCAGATATTCCTCAATGTAGGTTTATTGCACTACTGGCACTCTCAGAAAGCAATACTCAAATTTTGTAAAAAGTGAACCATGATAGTGTGCCTCCTACACCGATGACCACACTAGATAATAACTCAAAGACTTCATCCATCACAACACAGGAGGAGATATATGACACTACTGGTTAGTCTTCAGTGACTGGTCGCAGTAATCACCTCTTGAGAAGATCTTGACTATCTCTGAACGTTCACCTATCATTGTCTTCGTAGTCATCATTATCAGAAAGGTGGTTATAATTTCACTTAAAAATTGAGAAATTTTTTTTTCAGAGTTGGTTTGTAAGGATTAGATTTTTTTCACGAGTTTGACCATGGATCGGTATCAGTTATCGAACCATTGAAAGACAGGAAGTACTGAACAGTTATTTCATCCTAGTTCAGGGACCACCGGCGGTACATACCCAGGATCTTCCGGTTCGTCCTCACACAGACTCATATTTTCAAAAGTTTTTTTTGGGTTTTGATTTGTTAAAAGGCAATTTTTTTGTTTTTGATTATAGCTTGATTCCACACTGCACCTTTAGTACAAGTATGGGATTTTCAGCATGTGATATCGGTAGCCCGAATTTGCAGGCCAACCACTGATATTAGGTGTGCACCGGCAGGGGACCGAACCCCGGACCATGTGCATGGTCAGCGAGAGTCCTATCCGCTGTGCTACCGACTCAGGTAACCCAAACAGAAGCTAGCCAGAGTACCACTGAAAATTAACAGGAAGTACAGGGCGACTGTTTCGCACTAGTTTGGAACACTTTAGCGGTACATACCAATGACCCTACCAGGAATCGAACACAGGACTTTCGCGTTACAAGTAAGCTCGTTGACTATTTAGCCACTGAACGAGAATCCAGTGGTCTGTCGACTCCAAATGCCGCCAATGGGGTTCCACGAAAACCGGTATAGGGAAAAACACAAGCCGGTCATGGTACATCTCTACCACTGGTGATGTCATAAGTCTCGGCTGATGAAGTACCACAGGCAAGGACGAAACAGTTGTCTAGTACGCTCTGGTTATTATTTTGTGATCACACTGTGTATAGATATTTATACAATTATAAACTTACCAGAAATATCGATTACAAGCCGATGTATCGTTGGATTATTTGGATCTACTTGTCTTGGTCGAATATTCAGTCCATATCTTGGTTTCAAAGGTTCCCACTTTGTAAGACTGCCACCATCGTTATCATTGTTATTACCATTTGTTGATGGTTGATCTGATGCACTAAAATCAATTAGCATATTTGGTGGTCCATTAGCTATCGCCGTACAAGTGAGTTTAATTGCATCCTCTAGACTTCTTTCAGCGGATAACAGTTCTGTATTGATTATACGTGGAACTAAGATAATTTCAGCCTCTAAACTATAATTAGTTAGATAAAACAAAAGTGAAAATGAATAAGTTAGAAAAAATTTAAACAAACTGAAAAGTTTAATTATTGAGTATATATATATCAACAAAAGAAGTGACCTAGAAAAGATTATTGGACATTGATCATACCTATTATTATTATTATTATTCCCTTGAGTTCCAAGTGGAACATAAGGCTTCAACAACACACCTGCACTTTGATCTAGTCTGGTCCACGACTGCCCATGATCTTTCATCTCCTCCTCCCCAACACTATCTCCTCAATGTCACCCTCGCACACAAGCGACCCATTCGTCGCTTTTGTTGGCATCCCACTCGAGCGATGACCTGTATTGCACACAATTTCATTAGCAGGGCCTGCTCAAAGTACACCTAACAATAGATCTACATTTTCTCCTACATAATTATTGAGCAATCAGCTCTTGATTGATTTGTTGCCAAAGTTTCACCAACAGGAATTCTGATGTCGCCATTCAGGATGTTGTCCATTACTGTATGTAGTTGTCTGTGAAGGTCTTCCTACTTCTCTTCTCTCGTTCCGCGTTGTTTGTTGCACTGTGCATAGCATTGGATAATTGTAACATTCCTTCTTTTTGGGTTGAATCTTGCCGCCCTAATCCTGGATGAAATTGGCTCCCATTGTATTAGGGCCTTACCGCTCCCACTTGTGACATCATGATAGCCACTAACTACCTCAGTGTGCTTGTGGTTGTCGTCTGAATGACCATACCGGAGTAGATTACTGACTCTAAATTTGACAATTTGGTAATCCACATCCATTCCATCTGCTCTCGCAGATATCCAGCACTTCTATGCCATATCTTCGGATTTCTTTGGCTACTGGGCAGCCTTTTCCAGCTAGCTTTGTACATTTGTACGGACATTTCACGCCCCCATTCTTATTCTTGCTTTCATCGAGTAAAGACTCATCGGTCGGTTGACTGTCTTTCTGAAGGCTGGCTTTCACCAGTTTGTTGTGTTATTTCACCTCTCCGATTCCAGTGAAGATTAAGATTGTTCTTTCATTTTTTTTAAATATTTTTAAAATGTTTTTTGTGCGTTGAAGTTTCTGTAGCAGTTTGGTAGCCTTTTGTGTTGTAGGGTCGTTAACCCCACGCCCAACCCTCCCTATATACCCGGGCTTAGGACCGGCTAGAAAACTAGCAGACTAGTAAACTGGACGAGGTTTTAATCATATCATTAGTTGAATAAATTAACCAAAATATAATTTCTGATGTATTAGAGCATGGCTGAAGCATGCTTAATCAATCAACTCAAACATATTTCATTTAGTCTCCCCAATAACTCTGATTGGATATTACGAAGTAACTAATATCATAAATCTAGTCCTTTGTGTTGTCACAAATTGAAATCTGTTAGTTAGGTTTACAGTATGGCCACCATGCCAGTCGTCTCGCTGTCGCGGTGCACTATGAACTGCCGTTACTAGATGGCTGGAGGCAGTTGGTGAGATGGAAGCCTTGCACTCAATTTTTATGCCTAATGGCACACTCAGGTCAGTAAGGCGTCCGTACAATCTTAAACAAATTTACACTGCTTCTGAGATTTGAACCCAAGTCACCACGAAGTGCCTCTCTTTCTAGTTGAGTATGTTTAGGTATAACAGAAGACTTATGAGGGTATACAATGAGATGACAATACATGGGCAGTTACAACATATCATTCACTCACACAAAACTTTAAGACTCGTAAAGAGACTGAAGTAGTAATACAGAAGACACTGGCTGGAATAGTTCCATAGTGTAACTTTTTATTTGCCCTTTGATTATCAGCAGTTTCAAGTTAGAGTTATATGGCATAAAGCAGAATTTGAACTTTTACCATGACAGAACAATTACAAGATTTCGTTGTCAGCTGGCACCGGTTGGAGAATCATTGGAAAACTAGCTGGAAGTATTTGACAGCCGTTTAGTCGGCCTAGTTTAGAACTCTTCAGAAGTACGCACCGACCACTCGGGTCCGAACCCAGGACCTCCCTGTTATGAGGCAAGCTCTTAGACCATTAAGCCACTGGGACCTGATCCAACGGTCAGTCTATGAATTCTAACTTTTGCCAATTCACGATGTAGATTGACCACTAGCCAGTGTGTGTCATCTGTGGTGAGTATTTCTCCTCACACCCGACCTGCTGCCTCCTACTGGTCACGACTTCCCACTAGAACCCAGATAACTACCTACGTGAATAAGTCAAGTCGCTAGTGAGCATAAGATCAATATCCAAGGGTTGGTTTGCAGGCATTTGATTGGTTACAGGGTTCCACCAAGACCTGACATTGGTTAGAGAACTGATGTAACCAATCAAATAATAGAGTAGGATACAAAACATTGGTTTTGCAGCATTGTGCCAAATTGGCTCAAACAGCACTTCGGTTATTCAGAAGCTACTATAACTTAAATCGGTAGTGACAACGGTTTTTGATTTACTTTCAGCTATGATTCTTCTTGAAATTATTATCTTTAAATAATTACTCCAGTAAGGTAGTAGATAGTAACTGTCGACTTTAACCCTCTTCTAGTGTGTTTTAGTATTTTAGAAATATTTTGTAGTATAGTTAACGTATTATTGCATTAACTTGACAGGCATGAAGTGTAAAAATTCGGTAAGCATCTAACTTTAATTTTAAAATATATTTCACCCAATACTTTAAATCCTTAATTATCATAACAAAAGTAAAGCATCGTTTCAACTACAGGTGGAACTGACGAGGATATCAAAGCCAGAATCGGAAAAGCAAGACAAACTTTCATTACTCTTAAGTCTGTGTGGAGGTCAACAGCACTCAGCACTTAGAATGAAAAATAAGATCCGGATTTTCAACTCCAGTGTGAAGTCAGTCAGTGCTACTATACGGATCAGAGACTTGGCCAGTGCGTCATAAAGAGCATCTCAAAGAAACTTCAGACCTTTATTAACAGTTGTCTTCGCTCAATACTACTCAAGATCAGATGGCCAGAAGAGATCAGCAATAGTGAATGATCTCTGGGAGCCAACCAACCAGGAACTGATTGTGAAACAAATAAGCAGGAAGAAATGGAGATGGATTGGCCACACGCTGAGGAAACGATCAAGTGACATCACTAGACAAGCCATCGCTCGAGTGGAACCCGAAAGGGAAGCGGCGAGTTGGTCGTCCAAAGGTGACTTGGAGGAGGTCATGTGAGGAGGAGATGAAAGCATGTGGGCAGACTTGGAGCGGGGTGAAAAGGTTGGCAGAAAACCGAAGGCAATGGAGACGCGCAGCTGAAGTCCTATGTTCCTCTAGGAATTAAAGGATATAATAATAATAATAAAAGTGAATACTTAGAAATATCCTTTGCTTTGTAAATTTACAACATAGGAAATAATTTAGTACAGTCGAACCAATCACAAATCATTCGAATAAAATCTCTACTGTCTCAATTTTCGTTTAATTTCACTACATATGTACCAAATTGAATTTCTTCTTCACTGACTGGCTTCAGTGACTCGGGAGTGAAATGTTAACCAGGGTACAGTCTCATAAACATCAAGTATACAAAGGATGTTGTCCTACTGTGGTGAGAGCTGTCTGCAAGCAAAAAATTGTAGTCAGCAATTTATTTCAGAAATGAACTGATTTCTGAACAAGAACTCGAACTTAGGACGAAAGTGCCACACTAGAGGACATAGTGCTGGGAGTGCAGCTATGCCCGACTTCCACAGTATTTAAATTCCAAGGGAAAATATATATAAACAAACTGGGGGAGTTACCATGGGGTCACCAATATCTGCGGTTGTGATAGATATATTCAAGGATAGGTGGAAAAGCATAGGATTGAAACGTTCAGCCTAACCCAAAAGTATGGTGGAGGTATGTAGAGGATACATTCACTGTACTCAGAACATAGGATTTACATAGATTTTTCGAACACACACAAATTCAAACAGATATTTGGACTTCTGATCAGCTCATCTTATGTAAGTAAAAATAGGATTGGTGAAATGTTTAAGTGACAGAGCACAAAAACTAAGCAGTATCAAGGGAAATCTGAGACAGGAAGTGGGACAAATGAGAGAAGCTTTGAAACTTAATAATTAACCTGATAAAATTAATCAAAAAGTATGTAGGGAAATGTACAAATAAAATAAATAATGACAGTAGTGATGGTGATAATAATAATAATAGTAATAGTAATATTAATGGCGACCTGGATGTCATATATGCGCAAGACAATACCAACAATAAGGAATCTAAATCATCATACAGGAAAGGAACCTCGGAAACCTTACACAAATTCTTAAAAAGGCAGTAATAAAAGTGGCATTCGAACCCACAAACACAATTAGGAACAAGCTTTGTCGGTTATAGGATCAATCCTGTGGAGCCTTTAAAACAAAACAGTTTACTTTCTCTAATACCCTACCTGCAATGATTGACAGGTCAAATAATGCATAGGTCAAATTAGTAAAACATCGGCGGTCAGTCAGACTAGCCGAGCATAAAATCCTAGCAAAATCTAGATTACTTGACCCTAATAAGATAAGAAATCTAGAGAAGAGTTCAGCAATAGCACTACACCATAAGCAATTACACACAATCATACCTTACAATGGGATGGATAAGATGACAGTTTTAAAATCTAATGTAACAGGGTGCAAGGAGAGATTAATAACAGGAATGATTCAACACCTGCCGAGTCGGATATCTGGAAAACTCTACTACCTCAACGACGACAAGTAGGAGAGAACAAAGAAAACTATAAAACTCAAGTTTCGAAGTTGCGTGATTATAAAGGATGAAATGATCATGAACAATAATGAATTGTGTTCGAAACTGTGTCATCCATCAAATAATACTGTTACACTCACTGTGTGATCCATCTAATAAACAAACTAGTACAGAAAATTTCTAGAAAGAGCTGATCAATAATTGCTTACAAAATAAGGAAATGATCAATAGATTTGATCTCGAAAGAATATTTTAATCAAAATAAGTGAAGTGTTATCAGTA